CTTCCTTCAGGAATCGACCCACAGAAGACCCACAGAAGGCCCACAGAAGACCCCGCCCCGCGAAGGTGGCCCACAGAAGACCACGCCGCGACATCCTTCAGGAATCGAGGGTGGCTCTTTCTTCCGGGCGCCGCCAACATGGATTACGGATCGGTGGATCTTGCGCGTTGGCACCAGATCCACGCACGGATCGGAGCCGGAATGCCATGTGGAACCTGTTCTAGAACAAGACCGTAGACGGATCTGCCCTTTCGCCGACCTTGCACTGCGCCGAACGCAACGGCCGCGTTGTCTATAGACGTATCCATCTCGAATGAGGTGCCTATATCCGCCACCGTGCCCTCGAGGCACGAGTTTGAGTGTTCTCAGGTCCCTTGTTCGATCCCCTGGAGCCTCAATCCTCAATCCTGTGGCTTTTGAAGGGCCCAGACCCGAAATTGACAAATCCTCTCGGGGCTTGATGTGGCTTGTGCCTGACAAGTATGGGCCGCTGCCTAACAAATATGAATGCCATTGCCAAAACTGGCCCCACCAAACCGCTAAACGTGGCCGTGGTGGGCGGAGAGCAATACGAGACGCCGAGCGTCTGCGTTGGCGCAGGTTCCTGTCCAGGTCTATCTGCGGAACCTCCTGCGGCCCAAGCGGCCGCTTGTATAATGCAACAACGCACAAGTGCGACCCAGCGGGGACAAGGGAGGGAGAGAGAGAGAGAGAGAGAAAGGGCGGACGAGAGAAAAGAAGCCCAGCAGGGGGAAGCACATAGGCTTGTCGCGTTACTCTTTCGGAACTGAGAGGGCCTAAGACTGGCCAAGGAGGGCCCCAAGAGGCACCCAAGACGCTACAAGAGGGCTGCTGAATTCATCGCCGCATGATCGATCGAAGACGCCCAAGCTGGCCGCAAGATGGCACAAGAGGCTTCGAGACGCCCAAAGAGAGCCCCAAGAGCCTTCCCAAAAGCGCCTTCAGAGGACAACATTGTTGTTCTTCTCTAATTGTTTCAATGTTTTGGGGGTCCTCGCCTTTTCGAGCGTCCGCCGCCCCAAGATGCCCCCAAGAGGCCCCTCAAACCGCCCCAATACGGCCCAAGGCCCCCAAACGGCCCCCACGAGGCTTCAAAACGGCCCCCAAGAGGCCCCCGAGATGCCTCCCGAGACATCCCACCGAGCATCCTAGAGGCCGGTGGCCCACAACCAAGGTTATCTGGCGAGATGGGCTGAAGGCAGATAAACGTCACGACACCCAATGTCCCCCATAGGCCCAAAAGAGGCCACAAGAGGGCCCCAAACGGCCCCCAAGAAGCGTCCAAACTGCCTCCAAGAGGCCTCCGAGAAGCCTCCCACGAGATCCCAACGAACACCCAATAGGCTTCATACCCACAACCCAAGTACGGTGGCGGGATGGGCCGAAGGCTCCTAGACCTGGGCCGGCACGGGAAAGGAAAGAGCGCTTCAGCAACCTGCCCGAGATGGCTCATGGCACCCTTCGCTCTTGGGAGCCTTGGTGGTAAGAGCTTGTTGCGTCACCGCTCACCGCTCGTTCTTGGGAGCCTTGCTGGCAAGCGCGTGTTACGTCACCGCTCTCTGTTGGGAGCCTTGCTGGGAAGAAGTTGTTGCGTCACCGCTCTGTGTTCAGAGTCCTCGTGCCCAGAGATGCTTACGTTGTCGCTCGCTCTTGGGAGCCTTGGTGGTACCAAGAGGCCCCAAGAGGGCCCCAAGAGGGCCCCAAGACTGCCCAAGAGGCCTCAACCAGACCCAAGATGCCCTCCAAGATGGCCCTGGAGCACCCCAAGAGGGCCCCAAGTCGGCCCAGAGAGGCCTCTAAGACGGCTTTCGACGGCGTCAGACGAGCCAGGAGCCCACCCAGACGGCCAAAGAGGCCCCCGAGAAGTCCCCGGAGGCCCCCAAGAGGCCCAAGGAGGCCCCCAAGATGCCTCCACAAAGCAGCTCCCTCAGTGGAAATGAATCCTGAATCCTTGTGGGGGCCTATGAAAGAGGACTTGGAGGGAGGGTTTATTCCAACATCGTTGATGACTCTTGGGTGTACACTGGTCCTCCTCCACCTTCTCCTCCTCCTCCTCCTCCTCCTCCTCCTCCTCCTCCTCCTCCTCCTCCTCCTCCTCCTCTCTCTCCTCCTCCGCCTCCTCCTGATCTTCCCCGCCCTCCTTCCCCAAGTGTTTCCCGAAGGGTTTCCACAACGGTTGGGGGAACACATGGTCCGATAGCTTGGCGGAGCTCTCGCCACAACGCTCGGCCACATGTGCGATTCGACGGGCAGGGGGCGGCGGTGATTTGCCGTAGCCGTCTTCGATCCGCCGCCCCCGGTGGTCTTGCCACAGGGGTGCCCAGCGTGCTGGACGCTACCGTTTTTGGTTTGTTCTTTTTTTCTAAAAGAACTATCCGCTGGGGCTTCGGCCCGTCCCGCTGGCCACCCAGAAGGGTGCTCAAATGCCCAGGTGGTTGCCACAGTCGCCTTCAAGACTGCCAAGATGGCCCAAGATGGCCTCCAAGATGGCCTCCAAGACGGCCAAGATGGCCTCCAAGATGGCTAAGCTGGCTCCAAGATGCCTCCGAGACGGCCCAACATGCACCCCAAACGGCCTTAGATGGCCTCAAGAAGTTCCAAGACGGCCTCAGAGGCCTCCAAGAGGCCTCCAAGACGGCCCCAGAGGCCTCCGAGAGGTCCTCCAGAAGGGCCCGCAGAGGCCAACATCACTGATGTTCATAAGTGTTTGAAGGATGCTCGTGTTTGCTCTGTTCCGGCCTTCGACGGCCCAAGACGGCCCAAGAGGCCTCCAAGATCGCCCCAAGATCGCCCTCCAGGAGGCAATAGCCCTCCGAGATGGCTTTAGGACTGCCCAAGAGGCCCCCAAGACAGCTCCAAGAGGGCCCAAAGACGGCCCAGCAGGGCTCTAAGACGCCCAAGGAAGCCTCCAAGACAACCCTGTAGCACCCTAAGAGGGCCCCAAAACGGCCTAGAGAGCCCCCCAAGACGGATTCCGACGGCGTCAGGCGGGCTAAGGAGCCCACCAAGACGGCCGAAGATGGCCCTAAGATGGCCCAAGACGGCCCAAGAGGCCTCCAAGAGGGCCTCCAGGAAGGCCCGAAGAGGCCAGAAGCATTCAAATGTCTTAGGTTTTTGAAGGGTTTGGGCATTTACTTCTTTTCGGCCGACCGACGGCCCAAGACGGCCCAAGAGCCCCCAAAGATCACCCGAGAGGCCTCTAGGATGGCCCCAGAACCGCCCAAGAGGCCCACAAGACGGGCCCAAGACAGCCCAAGGGGCCTCCAAGACGCCCAAGATGGCCTTCAAGACGGCCCTGGAGCACCCCAAGAGGGCCCCAAGTCGGCCCAGAGAGGCCTCCAAGACGGCTTTCGACGGCGTCAGACGGGCCAGGAGCCCACCAACACGGCCAAAGATGCCCCCAAGAAGCCCCAAAGGCCCACAAGAGGCCTCCAAGAGGGCCCCCAAGATGCCTCCAAGAGCCTCCAAGGACGCCCCCCCGAGGCCCGAATAGTGTTTCCAGAGGCTCCCAAGATGCCTCCTCCTCCTCCTCCTGCTCCTATTCCTCCTCCTCCTCCTCCTCCTCCTCCTCCTCCACCACCTACTCCTCTTCCTCCTCCTCCTCCTCCTCCTCCTCCTCCTCCTCCTCCTCTTCCGCCTCCTCCTGACCTTCCCCGCCATCCTCCCCAAGTGTTCCCAGAAGAGTTCCCACAACGGCTGGGGGAACACATGGTCCGATGGCTTGACAGAGCTCGTGCCACAACGCTCGGCCACATAAGCGATTCTAGAAGGCAGGGGGCGGCGGTGATTCGCCGTAGGCGTCTTGGACCCGCCGCCCCCTGTAGGCTTGCCACAGGGGTGCCTGGCGTGCTGGGTCCTTTCGGCTTTGGTCTTGGTTCTTTTTGCAAAAGAGCTCTACCCTGAGGCTCCGGCCCAGCCCGCCGGCCACCCGAAAGGGACCATAACATCCGGTTGCAAAGGTTGTTCCTGCTCCAGACGGCTCCAAGATGGCCCAATATGGCCTCCAACACGGCTGCGATGGCCCTCAAGTTCGCTTAAGATGGTACAAGATGACCTCCAAGACTGCCAAACACAGTCCAAGATGCCTCCAAGTTCAGTCAGGAAGCCTCCAAGACGGTCGAAGACGGCCTCAGAGGCCCCCGAGAGGCCCACAAGACGGCCAAAGAGGCCTCCAAGAGGTCCTGCAGGAGGGCCTGAGGAGGCTAAATCATAGATGTTCCTTTTTTCATAAAGAAAACAAATTTTGGCATGTCCTTCTTTGCGGCCTTCCGACGGCCCAGTACGGCCCAAGAGACCCAAAGATCGCCCCAAAATCGCCCCAAGATCGTCCAAGAGGCCTCTAGGATGGCCCCAGAACCGCCCAAGAGGCCCACAAAACGGGCCCAAGACAGCCCAAGGGGCCTCCAAGACGCCCAAGATGGCCTTCAAGACGGCCCTGGAGCACCCCAAGAGGGCCCCAAGTCGGCCCAGAGAGGCCCCCAGGACGGCTTCCGACAGCGTTAGACGGGCCAGGAGCCCACCAAGACTGCCACAACAAAGAGGCCCCCGAGTGTCGATATCACCCCTGTTTTATTAAGTTTATGGTTTGTGTGTAGAGTCAGTTGGATTGTATATTGGCACAGATTGCGATTGTTGCTGTACCGCTGCCGTTTGATGTTCAGGGGCCCCTGAGTCACAGGAAAAGGTTGCGTATCTTTTACGGGATTATCGAGATAATCAAGTCACTTACACGCCCGAGACAGACTTAGTGTGCTGCCATCGGTTGAGATTGGTTGCGGGGCCGGAGATCCACACCCATCTCCGGCTCCCCCGTCGCCGCCGCCATGCCCGCCGGCGAGGCGCCGCCCCGCGGACCGGCGACGCCGCCAGGTCCGCCGCCGGCGAAGCCGCCGGGCGCCCCGCCGCCTGCCGCCGCTGCCGCTTCGGCCGCCAGCGGCGTGGACCCTGCTGCCGCGACCACTCGGGTCCCCGGCAGCGAGGGCGACGAGGCCACCTACGCTGAGGAGCGGGCTGGCTGGACAGGCGGAGGTTGGTGGCGCCAGGAGAGCTCGGCCTGGGACGGGGGAAGAAGCCTTGACGCAGGCCTGTCAAAGACAGCACCGAACTACGAGTTGCTGAAGACCGACGGCTACAAAGTTTTCAGGCGCAAGCTGGAGGTCTTCGAGAGATGTTGCCGCAAGCGCGGCACGACCGCCATCAGCGAGGGGGCTTTCCTGGTCATGAACTCGCTGCAAAGAGGCGGCAGAGGCTACGGAGGAGATAGACCTGGACCTGCTGGAAACAGACGACGCCTTCAGGCCGCTGTTCAAGGTCCTGGACGAGTACTACAAGTACGACAATCAGACTGAGTTGCCAGCCTGGACATATCAGTTTTTCGGCAGGTTCGCCCGCAAGGACAAGGAGTCGATGAAGCTGTACTGCCTGCGCCATCAGCGCGACCTCATGAAGCTGAAGGAAGTAGGCATGGAGATCCCAGATATGCTGGCGGGCTGGCACCTCCTCACGAGAGCGGCGATCCCACCGTCGGGCGCCGCCCAGGTTCGGAGTCAATGCGTAGACGGTCTCAGCTTGCAAAAGGTGAGGAAAGCCCTGCTCGACACGTACGGAGCCGAAGGTCTGCCCGACAAGCGCGTTATCAAGCGAGTTGAGAGGATGCTGCTCGGACAGAACGCCAAGGACGATGCTCATTACACGAATGACTACGAGTGGGGGCGAGGCCTGAGCTACGAAGACACGTACCTGGAGGAGGAAGAGTACGAGGACGAAGACGAGCACGAGTACGAGGACGCTGACGAGGAGGCCGAGATCGCAGAGGAGTTGCCGCAGGATGTCGAGGACGCTCAGCTGGCGTGGGACGAGGCCTACCTGAGTTCCGTGGATGCAAAGAAGCGCGTGGCTGAGATCGCGAAGTCCCGAGGCTTTTGCCCGATCGTCGCCGTGGCGCCGGACAACAACTACCAGCGTGAGGCGCGACCCGCTCGATCACCAGGTAAAGGCAAGGGACGCGGACGCGGAAAAGGCAAAGGCAAAGGGGCAAGTCAGCCACGTCGAGATCCACCAGCGTTCAAACTCCCGAAGGCCCCGTTCGTCCGCACTCAGGCTGCGCCGAGCGCGGGATCGACCGGGACAGGCTCGACGCAGCAGCACGGCCCGAGGTTCAAGAGGTTTCGCCACGGCGGGTTCGCCAGGACGGAGACCGAGTCAGGCAACATGGTCGAGGACATCGAGAAGCTGGAGTGCGCGAACTCGACCGAGGCGGTGTTCTTGCTGACCGTCTGGGCGCAGTGGGAGGAGCTGCTGCGCGTGAAGCAGTTGCTGCGCGAAGTCAAATATGACAAAAGCGACCGACGGTTCAGGTTCGGAGACGGGAAGACGCTGGAGGCTAAGGAGGCAGTGACGTTGACGGCGTGGCCGTTCGGCGTCAAGAAGCAGGTCGCCACCCACCTCGTCAAGGGGTGGACGCGGCTGCTCATCGCCAGGCCCTGCATGGATCAGTGGGGTCTCATCCAGGACTACGGGGCAGGTGCGTTCATGATGCAGGATCTCCCCGACAAGGGTTGGATGAAGTCCGAGCGTGAAGGGAAAGGCCACTTCATCATCGACCTGCTTGGCAGCGCCGGGAAGGAAGCGGACGACGCCATGAACGAGGGCGCTCCCACGGACGGCGAGGAAAGCAGCGACGATTCGACGGACAAGGACTCGGAGGGGAGCTCGGTGAAGGGCGAGACCGATGGGGGCAGCGACTCGTCGGTGCCAGACGCCGACGCCTACTACCTCGAGACCGTCACGGAGTTTTACGACACCGGCAGCGACGACGAGGCGCTGACGACCGAGGAGCTCGCGGAGGCAGGGCTCACCGACATGGATGCGGACACCTACTCGGGCCTGACCTTGGCCCTGGAGCAAGCGGAGACCGACATGAAGGATACGCTCAGAGGACCCCGCAAGCGCGTGGTCTGGGAGGTCTTTGTGGACACAGGAGCTTTGTCGGAGGAGCTGCTGGAGTTCCCGCAGGTCAAGGTGGTCCAGTTCAGGCAAGCCAATGCTGGGAGCCCAGCGTGATTCGCTGCTTCTTAAACAAGATCGATGAGGAGAAGACCGACGACATCCCCTTCGCACCCCCGTGCAGGATCTGGCGCTCTTGGCAGTATGTCAACGAGAAGCTTTCGGAGGAGCACACGAAGGAGATCAACCTCACCAGACAGCGAGAGGAGAGGACGTTTCTCAAGATGGTTCGGGATTCGTTCGCGAAGCAGCAGAATGGTGGACGTCATGCGCATGCAGAAGGCCCGTGGCAAGGGCTACACTGACAAACCAAGACCTGGCAGAAGCTACCTGGATACCACTGCCAGCTCGACCAGTGCAGGCTGGGCGCGAAGTTCGAGATCAAGGACAAGCTCATGCCGTACCAGAAGCCTACGCGACTCCAGTCCACGAGCGAGGAGTTCATACACCACATGAGCATGCTGTGCCGCTGCACCGAGGAGCACGTGGTCTTACGCGGCAAGCTTGCCCAGCAGGCTCAGAATTACCCGAGACCGATGGCGAGAAGGATGGCCTACTTGATCGCCTACCAGGGCATGGCCGACGACATTGAGGATATCAACACCGCCGAGGAGGTCTACAAGGATATCGACGCCATCGAGTACACCGACGTAATGCAAGAGCTGATGAAGCGTTTCAACGTGTCGACGATCAGGGCGGTCAAGCGCGCTCATATCAGCCTGGGCCACCCCTCAAACGCGGCGCTGGCAACCGCCATGAAGCGCGCGAAGGCCCCGGCAGAATGGACTCAGTGCGCCAAGCTCTTCCAGTGTGAAGTTTGCCTGAGCAGGAGGCGACCTCGAGCAGCACGCGCGGCTGTACTACCACAAGCTAGAATGTTCAAGGAGGTCGTGAACACCGACGTCTACTACGCCACTTGGAAGAACAAGGAGCGGAAGATCTTGGCCCTGAACGAGTTCACGCGCTACGAAGTGGACTACCCGATCGCGAAGGAGACTTTCAAGAAGGAGGTGAACCTGTTTCAGAAGTTGTGGATCAGCTTGGCCGGCAAGCCCGACACCATGAGGATGGACATGGCAGGCTCGCACACGTCGAGAAATATGCACCAGTGGATGAGCAAGCATGACATCACACTCGACCTGATCCCGAAGGGCGCGCGCCACAAGCTTGGGCTCATGGAGCGCAGCCATGCGGTCAGGAGGGAGCAGCTCAGCAAGTACCACCTGCAGTTTCCCGACGACTCGCTCAAGACCGCGCTCAGGATGACCGCCAGCCAGCGGAACATCTTACGCAACGTGCTCGGGTATTCGCCCGCGACGCTGGTGCTGGGCACACAGCCCAAGGTACCTGGCGCTCTGTGCGACGAGGACTTCGGCCTGGCGGAGCAGGCCGCGCTGGTCGACCCCAAGAGCGAGGTGCACGAGATGATGGTCAGGCGCGCTGCGGCGGGGGCGGCTTTCATCGAGGCCATCTGCTCTCGCGCCGTGCGAGCTGCGCTGTTGGCGCGCAGCAGGCCGACGCGCCGCGAGTGCCAGATCGGCGAGTGGGTCTACTTCTGGCGACCCGAGATGTCGACGGGCCTGGAGAAGTGCCATTGGCATGGCCCGGCGGCGGCGGCGGCGGCGGTGGAGTCGAAGGTCAACGAGGACGACGTGATGCACGCGTCGGTGGCGTGGGTCACGCACGGGCGCACGATCTACCGCTGCACGGTGGAGCAGCTCCGTCCCGAGCTGACGAGCGAGACCCGATAACGAGAAGGACGACGCGAGGATCCCGACAGCCCGCTCAGCACCATCGAGAAGCTGAGGAGGGCGCTCAGGCGGACCAAGGGGACCTGCAGCTTCAGCGACCTCGCCGAAGGGGGCCAGCGGCCCCAGTACGACGACACCCTGGACGACGTGGGCGCGCAGCAGCCTGGCGCTCAGGGACACCGCCATGGAGATCGAGCGAGCAAGAACGAGAGGAGCCGAGTGGAGCGGCTGCCGCGGCAGCTCCCGAGGCCCCCCAGCCAGCCGAGGCTGGCGAGGAGGCGGCTCCAGGCCCTGCACCTTCGTGGGCCAGCGCTGCGCGGGAGCGTGGCAACGCGACGAGGGAGCCGAGCAGAGTCCACATCGAGGCGATGGCCAAGACGAGCATCGAGGAGGCTGAGAAGCTGGACGGCATCCCGCTGGCAAAACGCGCCCGCATGTCGTGGGTCAGGCTTGCGCCCCAGCAGGAGGAGTCGTGTCTCATCGAGGTGGTGGACGACGAGATGATGCTGTTGGAGGAATCCACCGAGACGATCTACATGCTGGCTTTCAAGGGGAAGGTTCCCGCCATCGTGGAGGGGAAGCTCACGTCCGAGCAGCGGGAGCAGTTCTACGCGGCGAAGCTGGAGGCCCTCGAGGCGTTCAATAAGAACGACGGCTGGGGGCCCATCGACGAGGCGGAGGTGGACCCAGCGGCGTGCTGTCCGCTACGCTTCCTGCTGAAGTGGAAGGTGCAGGACGGGCAGCGAGTGGCCAACGCGCGAGTGCTCTACCAGGGTTTCAAGCACCGCGACGTCACCGAAGGCCAGCTCGACAAGGGGGCGCCCACTTTGAGCAGGCTTGGCCGGCACACGGTCATGCTCTGGGCGGCCTTGAGAAAGTGGAGGCTGCTCGCTGCGGATGTGAAGTCCGCGTTCTTGCAGGCCGAGGACGTCGGCGCTCACGGCGTCAAGCTGTACGCGAGCCCGACGAAGGAGATGAGAGAGATGCTTGTGCGCCGGATCGGCTTGCAGCCAGGACAGTTGCTCAAGATGATCAAGCCGCGCTTTGGGGGCCCGCGGTCGCCCAAGCTCTGGCGCTACCGCTCCGACGAAGTCGCGAAGGAGATCGGGTTCAAGAACCACTGGCTCGAGAATTGCTTGCTGCTGCCCATGCGGACCGCGCGACCCTCGGACGACCCGTTCGACGCGCGCAGCTTCGACGGCCAGACGTTCGTGGTGGACGGGTTCATCGGCGAGCACGTGGACGACTTCACCGGCTGCGGCGAGAACGTGAGTTGCGAGGATGACCTGCGCGCCAAGCTGGACGATGCCGAGTGCTTCCAGGCGCGGCTGGGCACGCTCAATGAGAAGTTCAAGTTTGGCAAGTGGGAGTTCGGGCCGAGCCTAGTCTTCACCGGCGGCGAGGTGGAGCAGTCCCTGAGCACCTACGCGGCCACCATCAAGTTCGAGAAGTACCTGCACGCGGTGAAGCCCATCACCGTGGAGAAGCACTGGCGGGCGGATCCCACCAGTGCGCTGTCGCCGCAGCTGCAGTGGCCGGCAGCCCAGGGAGTTATCATCGCGGCGGCGACCGTATCGTTCAGAGCCGCGGCGACTGGACACGCGACGGTGCAGGACTTGCTGGACGCGAACAAGGATCTACGGTTCCTGAAGGCCAACGCGGACGTGGGGTTGTACTTTGGCTTCGACAAGCCGTGGAGTGAATTGCGCGTTGGAGGATGCTCAGATGCGAGCTGGGCTAGCCGACCTGACGGAAGTTCCCAAGGAGGCTATCAGATCTTCGTCGGACCCGAGGACGAGCTCAACGCCGGCACCCCGACGCCGTTCGTGGCCATGGAGTGGGCCCCGAAGAAGCTGGCGCGGCTGTGCAGGAGCTCATTGTCCGCCGAGGCGCAGGCCGCGGCGATGGGAGCTGACTCGCTGATGTGGGTGAGGGTCTTTTTGACCCTGAGTCTGAGGCCCGACCTCGGACACGACGCCGCCATGACATACCTCGGAGAGTCGCTGTTCATCACAGACGCTAAGTGCCTCTACGACGCCTCGCGGTCAGCTACGGCGGGATTGGGCATCGCGGAGAGGAGGACGGCCATCGAGGTGAAGATCGTGAACGAGCAGCTGGCGGAGGTCAACGCTAAGTGGAAATGGGTGAACACCCAGCAGCAGATGGCGGACGGGCTCACCAAGCTTTCGGCACGCCAGATGATGGCATATGTGTTGCGCCTTGGAGTTCACGCCTTGCGCTACGACCCCGACTTCGTGGCCGGCAAGAAGCTCACCAAGCGCGCGATGGAGCAACGCGAGAAGGAGCTGGACCTGGCACGAGAAGAGTTGCTCGACACCTTCGAGAAGGCGCCCGTGGCGAAGGCGAAGGCCAAGGCCAAGACGCGCCATTTTGGCGCGAGTGGAGCTCGTTTGGCAGCTACGTTGGCGGCTCCTGGAGCGACAAGCTCTGGAGCTGAGTTGGTGCAGTATACGCCCAGCGGCGTCGAGCTGTTCAACCCACCGACCAACGACGACTGGAATACTCTGCTGATGAAGCTGGCCATGTTCGGATTGATGGCGATGCTCGTGGCTTTTGGCTGTGGATTCTGGGTCGGCACCTGCTGGACACGCTGGACTACCACCGACACGGAGCAGAAAAACATCAAGCCGCTGGAGCCAGAGACCGAGCCGAACCCCGGCAAGACGGTGAAGCGCGACGCCGAGGTGACCGAGATGATGACGACAGGTGTGAACACCAAGCAGCCTCGCCAGAAGAAAGCGCGCCACATGATGTGCCAGTCTCAGTGCCGCTACAACCAGGACGTGCAGACGCCGAGGTTCCAGCCGCTGCCCGAGTACGCGCATGGAGCTTTTTTCGGATAGAAGAAGATGACGGGGACCCAGCCTATGGCGACGTGGCGGCGCTGCCGCAGGAGCTGATGTGCATCGTGATGTACACCTTGCTGGGCGCCCGCGAGGCGCGGACTTGCTTGCCTGGCGAGATCGACCGATCGCCCGGCGTGCTGAGATAATTAAGGAGATATATGTCGCTGACGCGACCGCCGGTGTGTTTCACAGTCGAGTCAGACTGGCTTGTGCAGGGAACCTGCGGTGACAGTGATGTTTATCTGTGTTTTAGTTTCGGTCCCGTTCCCGAAAGCTTGGAGTTTTCAGCGTTAGTTTGAGTTTGCAGTTGGAGTCTCCTGGTAAACGTCCGGGGAGCCCTGAGTTTGGGCAGTGTGATTTGTAGAGTATCTGTGCTAACTCCTTTTTTCCGCCCGTGTCAATATCACCCCTGAATTATTGAGTTTATCGTTTGTGTGTAGTGTCAGTTGGATTGTATATTAGCACAGATTGCGAGTGTTGCTGTACCGCTGCCGTTTGATGTTCAGGGGCCCCTGAGTCACAGGAAAAGGTTGCGTATTTTTTACGGGATTATCGAAATAATCAAGTCACTTACACGCCCGAGACAGACTTAGTGTGCTGCCATCGGTTGAGACTGCCCAGAGGCCCCCAAGAGGCCCAAGGAGGCCCCAAAGATGCTTCCAAAAGGCTCCCAGGAAGCCCCCAGGAGGCCCCAAGAGTGTCCCCAGAGGCTCCGAAGATGCCCCCTCCTCCTCCTCCTCCTCCTCCTCCTCCTCCTCCTCGGCCTCCTCCTCCTCCTCCTCCTCCTCCTCCTCCTCCTCCTCCTCCATCTCCTCCTCCTCCTCCTCCTCCGGCTCCTCCTCCTCCTCCTCCTCCTCCTCCTCTTGATCTTCCCCGCCATCCTCCCCCCAATGTTCCCAGAAGGGTTTCCACAACGGTTGGGGGAACACATGGTCCGATAGCTTGGCGGAGCTCTTGCCACAACGCTCGGCCACATGTGCGATTCTACGGGCAGGGGGCGGCAGTGATTCGCAGTAGGCGTCTTCGATAAACGTAGCGACACCCAATGTGCATGTAGAAACTGATGATTAGAGTTTGAACCTGAAAAGTACCTGGCATAGGCCCGGAATCTTTGTCTTCTAGAAGTAGGTTAGCATTGCCCTCCAAGATCGGGCAACGTAGCCCCTGAAACATAGCGCCAGGCGTGCTGCCTGGTCTGGCGAAGGTGCGCACCACTCTGGACCGAAGCGGGGCCCGCTGCTCATCCACGCGCCGTATACTGTCGCGCCGTATATATGTCGTGGCGGCGGCTCCGGCGACACGCCGAGGCGTGGTGGGCCAGAGCCGGCGGCGCGACCCGCTCAGCCAGAGCTCCTGACCGCAGTCCATGTTCGAGTTTCCTCGATCCAGAGCACGATTCGAATCTCACACCAAGCAGCGAACTCACCCACACTGCCGGCCCGTCGATGCCATCTCTGCGCTGCGCCTCTGGTTCGATCGTCGACGCTGCTCGTTCGATGCGGGACCATTGGCCATTGGCCAAAGCAGACCCCGATGGGCGAAACGCGTAGCATCTCTTCCCTTACGCTTGAGACTCGATCCCGAACAAGTGCCAAGCGGGTTCCCGCACGGTGGCTCCCTCCCCCGCCCCCGCCCCCATGAGGAGGGGCAAGCGGCGCCGGCCTTGGCCTTGGGCGAGGCGCTGCGGCTGCGGTCGCGCCGCGCGCCGCCAGCAGCCTGGCCCGGGCGACGACTGCGCATCTCCTCTGCGGCTGGCAGGGATCGGGAGGGCAATGCAGGACTTGGCGGCGCCCACGCGGGGGGCGGGGGGTGGCACGAGGGGGGCGGCCTGCTAGGACGGCGGAGGGGCTTTTCAGAAGGCAGGGGCCTTCGCAGGAGGCCCTGAAGTCTTCGGAGAAGGCTTGCCAGAGGCTGGGCGGACCTCTAAGAAGCCGCCCTGGCTTCTTAGCAGCCCCGCCGCCTCCTAGAGACCTGCCCCCCTCGCGCCACCACCTCATGGGCGCCGCCGCTCGATGGCGGCTAAGACGAAAACGCGGAGGGAACGATCAACGCAATCGAAGGGAAAATTCTTCGAAGGGGGCGATCGAACGAACTCAGTAACGACGGCGACGCCCACGAGCAGGCCCGGAACCCAACTTCATCTTCCAGGGCGCCGCTGCGTGACGTCGCCCCACCCCCACCACCCGCAGACATCTTTCGTTCGCCATCCTACACCAAATCGGGGGCAGGGGGAGCCAGGGCCCCATGACATCCAGAGACCGTAGCGATATCGAGCCAGCGTTTTTTTGTTTCTGGATTGGTGTTTCGCTAGACGGGACCGAAAAGTGGTAGACCTTCTCATGGCGAAGGACCCGACAATCTGCAAATGTGAATACGGCGTTGTGGGGACTGCTTTCGGTGGAGCTCCCCCTTGGGCCACGAAGCGCGCGAGAGGTGTCCGGTAATGGGCGGGGGAATCATACGCAAACGCGGCCACTGGAGCGTTCAATGGATCTCCCTCTTGGGCCCCGAAGCGCTGTATTACATGGGCGGGTGCGCATGCGAACGCGGCCACTGGGGCCTTTGGTGGAACTCCCCATGGGGCCACCGAGCGCTGTACTGGGTAGGGGAGACGCATGCGGTCGCGGCCACTGGGGCCTTCGGTGGAGCCCCCTACGTGGCCACGAAGCGCTGCGCTCGGTGGGAGACGCATGGACGCACGCGGCCGCGGTGGCCACGAAACGCTGCACGGGGTGGCGCGGACGCATGCGAATGCGACCAGTGGAGCCTTCGGTGGGGCTTCCCGTGGAGCTACGAAATTGTAATAACACCCAGCAGTTGCGGATAAGAGTGAGGGGGCTGCGAGGACGTCCTCAGTCTGCGAGGCTCTGGAGAAGCCCGCCGCAGGCGCCTAACTTTTACAACTTATGCATTGGGCCCGCCGCAGGCGCCGATTTTTTCGTTACAGCATTGTGGGTGGATCGCGGGGTGGGTCGAGCATGGGTCGCGGGTGGGTCGCGGGCCGGGTCGCGGGTGGGTCGCGGGTGGGTCGCGCATAGGTCGCGGGTGGGTCGCGGGTGGGTCGCGGGGTGGGTCGAGCATGGGTCGCGGGTGGATCGCGGGCCGGGTCGCGGGTGGGTCGCGGGGGTGGTGGGTCGCGGGTGGGTCGCGGGTGGGTAGCGGGGTGGGTCGCGGGTGGGACGCGGGGCGGGTCGCGGGTGGGACGACGACAACAACAAACAACAAACAACACAGAACAAACAACAAACAACAACAAGAATCCGCATCGCGGAATTCCACTTCAGCCACGCACCCAGGGACAGTGAATGACCGTTCGGTTCAGCTCCCTCACTCTGATGTAGTGGGTGTTGCGGACGCATGCGAGCACGACCACTGGGGCCTACGGTGGAGCACCCTCTGGGGCCCCGAAGCGCCGTACTGGGCGGGAGGGGGGCGCATGCGAACGCGGCCACTGGGGCCTTCGGTGGAGCCCCCTGTGAGGCCACGAAGCGCTGGAGCGGACGCGTGCGAACGCGGCCGCTGGGGCTATCGGTCGGTGGAGCTCGCTATGTGGCCACGAAACACTTTACTGTGGCGCGGACGCATGCGAACGCGCCTCTGGGGCCTTCGGTGGAACCCCCTATGGGGTCACGAAGCGTGTGAAGTGTGTGCATAAACAGCGATGGAAGAAGGGAGGAGCACGGCGGCAGGGATGGACGGGAGGTGAGCAACGCGGGGCGTTCTCTTCAAAGCGAGGACCCCACGCCACAGGATGGTTAGGAAAAAACGCAGAAAATCCCCGCAGGGGTCACGGGGAGCCCCAGACCGCCCAGTTCGGCAGCCGTTTCGCCCGAGACTTCCTCATCATTCATTCAGGAATCGTGCCCTCGCCTCAGTGCCAACTACACTCTTGGTCCGGACGGCTACGACCGCTAGTCAAAAATACGCTCAATTGCAAATGGCCGTGCTCTCCCTCATGCCCTGGCTGCATCTTTTCTCTCCCAGGGCGTCCTCCTCGACACGCATTGACCTCTGCTTATGAATTGACTACTGGTCTTGGCGAACGTAGTCTTCGGGCCGAGCTGACGTCTGAAGTGTCCGGGCCGAGTTAACGACCGTTGTGGGCGCTTCTCCAGACATGCGCCGTCTTTCAGCCACTGGGCTGGACTCCACCTCCTCGACCCGCCTCGTCGCCTCTGCTTACATCAGGGTGCTCTGCTGGGGCAGCTCGAGATGTCTCGACCGGGAGGCCGCTCCTCGGGCCCCCAGGGGCCGCTGCAACAGCGAGGCTCCGGAGGACGAGGAGGCCCCCCGGGAGGGTGCCGCGAGCAAGAGGCAGAGTTGCCCGAGGTCTGCGGCAACGGAGCAGAGGCTCGCCACGTGTTCGCCCGCCCCCGGGGCTCTGCTCCTCGATCCCTCGCCTCCTTCTCTCTCTCTCTCTCTCTCCCCGCCCCTCTCCCCCTCCCTCCCCCCTCCTCCTCCCCCTCCCCCTCCCGACCCCTCCGCCCCAGCTCCACCACCGCCCTGCCCTCCCGCTCAACCCCTGTCCCGAGGCCCCATCGACAATTTCCGCGTCGCTAATACGACTTTCCTCTCTCACAGGAAGATGGCCGTGGAGTCGCCCGCCCCCCCCCCCCCCCCCGCGCAATCTTTTAATCTTCAAAACACAGTGTTACGTTTTTTTTTGTTTTAAAGCAAGACCGAGAATAATGGAGCGGACATGACAACGAACGAGAAGCTTGTACGCTCCTGACTACGTAGCAGGGTTGGCCTGCGGGCGTGTCCGCATCGCTGGCCGCAAGTTCGTGCTGAGAGAGGGGGAGGAAGAGGAGAGGGGGACGAAGAGGACGAGGGGGGAGAGCGGGCAGCATGGTTGCCCAAAACGGCTGTCACGTACAACGGTTGCTTAAACCCAGGCCCGTGTCAGAAGTAAAAATAGCACCGGCTACAGGAACAGGAGGAAGAGGAGGGGACAAGAGGAAACCAAGAGCCGAAAGAACTGGGGGGGATGGGGGAGGAGAAGGAGGAAAGCCAAAGCACCTGGAGCAGCACTCGGGCCAACCTGCGATAGGCAAGCCGTTGCGCGCAGCCCGGGGGTCGGGGCAAACAAAATGACAGAATGTGATATTTCCTCGTGGCTTCTTTCAAACGGAACTTCCCCGCTGTCTCAAAATGGCGGTCCCTTTGAAGCGTTGGTCTCATTTCAAGATCGGCGCTTTGATCACTTCGTGTAGAATGGCGCTCTCGCCCCAGGCAACTCTTGGGCAAACTCGTCCAGATCCCCATCCTTTTTCATCTTTGTCGCCACCCTCCTTTCCCGTCCTCCGCCGTCCCCCTCTGGTCCTCGTGCTCCTCCCGCTCCTTCAACTCCAGCTCCTGCTGCTGCTGTTCGTCCTCGTCCTCCTCTTTCCTCTTCCTCCTCCTCCTCCTCCCCCTGCCCCTCCTCCTCCATTCCCTATCATTATACATAACTTCTACCCTGTCGCACCCCGAGGCCTCTTTTTCAGGCGGGCCGGGCGTTTCGCCTGAGACGTCCTCGCCATGTATGGCTCTGGAGCGTACAAATTGGTAGCAGCTTCACAAATGGAGGGCGGGCCGTTTTCAACATGTGGCACTCGTCTTAGCGCCGCGCTCATTCATTTTCAAGATTTGAAATAGCTTCACGGATTGAGGGCGAATGGTTTTCAAAATGTGGCTCTCGTCTGAGCACCGCGCTCATTCGCTTTCAAGATTTGCAAGAGTTCCACGAATTGAAAGCGAATGTATTTCAAATGTGGCTCTCGTCTTAGCGCCACGCTCAGTCGCTTTCAAGGTTTGCAAGAGCTTCGCGGATTGAGGGCGAATGGTTTTGACAACTGTGTCCCTCGCCTTAGCGCCGCGCATATTCGTATTAAAACGTTGCAAGAGCTTCACATATTGAGGGCGAATGGTTTTCAAACTTCGTCTCGCGCCTTAGCGCCCGCGCACATTCGTACTAACAACTTTGCAAGAGTTGCACGGATTGAGGACGCATGGTTTTCAAAACGTTGCTTTCGCCTTAGAGCCACGCACATTCGTTTTAAACATTTGTAAGGGCTTCACGAATTGAGAGCGTTCCTTTTCAAAATGTCGTTATCGCCCAAGCGCCGCGCACATTCTTCTACACCATGTGCATGAACCACGAATTCCCAGGATGAACGTACCAGAAATTATGTGCTTGCAGGGATTCAGGATCATGCGGACGCAGCAGTTACGTTGATTCGCGGTGTTGAAGTCCCAGGAATGGCGTTCTGACACGATTCTAGATCGCCAAGGCGCAACAGTCAGGTTTATCCGTAGCTGTGAACCCCCGAGAATAAGGTTCTGGCATGCTTGAGGGTCTTCAAGCGGTTGACTTCCGACGAGGCAGTTCCCTCAATGGATATGAACCGTTGTAGGGGCCTGTGGCGAGGGAGCTTGGAGGGAGGGTTTGTTCCAACATCGTTGATGACCCTTGGGTTTACACTGGTCCTCCTCCTCCTCCGCCTGCTCCTTCTCCTCCACCTCCTTTCCCTCCCGCTTACTCATGTACGGCAGGCTGTACGGTACGCGCTACTTACGACCTCATCGCACCCGTTCGATGATCGTTCGAGGTCAGGTTTTGTGCACGTGTGCACGCGCGAGTAGGGCACGGCACTGATCACGCGCAATGCCGAGTCTTCTTCTTACTGCTTATCCTTGTGCACATGCGCCGCCTCATCCTTCTTCTCCCATTCCTCCTCCTTCTCCTCCTCCTATGTACGCAGCTTCCTTTCCCGACTGCGCATGACACGATGCAAGCTTTTGGGGAGTTCCTGGCCCGCTATGTCAAGCGTCCACGGGTAGAGCAACATCAGCGCAATGGGAAGCGATGGGTGGGAAGGCCAGGGTGTCAGATATGGCGCAGGGCACCTAGCTTGCCACCTCTCGTCTCCGCTCCCCCTCCTCCAATTCCCATCCCCCCGCCTCGCCCCACCTGGGGCCCTAAACATGCGATGTCTTGATTTGTTCAACACGAGGTCCCCAGAAATCCCCGACCCTTTCCTCAGGGCCCGTTTTTCGTCGTGACCCTTGTGCTCTTGATATTCCCAGGGGCTGGCGAAGGCCCCCGGAGGCCGAAAGCGGCCAAAAACCTCCCGTCGTGATTTTCTCAAAACGCGAGCAGCAGAGGAAGAACAAACGGCAAAAGCATACACTGGCGGCGCTCTGGCGGCCCCCCTGGCGGCGCCTCTGGCGCCGCCCCTCGCGCGCTCCGCGCGCCAAAAGGGGGGGGCCCAGCGCCGATCCAAGAAATCTGCGCTGAGTTTCAAAAGTTCATGCTTTTGCAATGTCTTCTTCTTCTTCTTCGAAGCTTGTCTGGGGCTGGGTCCCTAGCTCTTCAACGTGCCCTGGTCCTCGACCCAGCTGTCCACCTCGCCCACGCCGGCGGCCACCAGCACCTCGCAGCAGGGCGGCATGGCCTTCGTGGTGGCCAGCTCGATCAGGGCGGTCATCTGCAGGCCGTTTTATTTATCATTCGCGATAGCGCCTGTGACTGGCTCCGCCCCAGACGCACCCGGCGTCAAATCGAGACGGACTGTTGTTCATAATTTTCGGCCTCTCGGGGCTCTTACCGGGCCTCTGGAACGTCAAAAGATCACTCCGGATAAAAAAACTGGTCCTGGGAAAGTGGTCAAGGTCGGAGGCCCCTGTCTCGAACAAATCTAGACGCCAGATGTCTGGGCCCCCCCCTCCCCTCCCTTGTCACGCAAGTCACGATTTGCTCAGGCGCCGTGTGGGAATCATCCATTCCCCAGCACGGCGCCGGTGCGATTCGCGACGTCACGAGACCCCTCCCAACCTCCCCTCCCCCCCTCCCCTTGCGCCCCCCCGAGCACGCCCGTTGCATATCGCCAGCGGATGCAAAAAAGTATCCTGCCGCTCGTACACCACGTTGTTGCTGGACTTGTCCAGGCGCCACGTCTTGCCCCGACCCTCGGGCATCTTGCAGGACAGTTGCACGACGATGGCGCCCGGCTTCACGTCTGACACGGACCCCTCGCCGACCCTGTCCAGCAACGGGTTCGTCTCCGAGACGGTCACGCAGTCGCCACGGGCCATCCGGCAGCGCTCCGCGTCGAAGTTGACTGGCGTGACAAACGCTACCATCTCCAATCCCTTATCCTGCCAGCCAGGCAACATCTTTCTGCCACCCTTCCCTTCGCCGCCTGGGCCGGCACCCTCGCGGCGGCCAAACGTAGCTTTGACTGGCAGCCCTGTCAGTGCCCAGCCTGTCCTCACAAGCTGCTCCTGAGAAGTTTTCAGGCGCCGCTTGCGGATTGAGCAAACCTCGGCGAGGTACTCGAGGTGCATGAGCACGCAAAAGTGGCTGAAGTATTCCACGACGTCTGGGCTGCTGTGCGTCACCATCCCCTGCAGCATCTTCAGGTCGATCTGATTCAGCGCGGTCACTGCCTCCTCCACAGATCGGATGTTCGCGCGCTCGCTTCTGGGGCGGAGCAGAAAACCTAAGCCTACCCTCAATGCCCTTCCTCTGTCCGCCTCCAGGGAGGCGAAGTATGGCGGGGTGCGGAAGAGCGGTGGGGGAGTGGGACCAGAAAGGAAAAGGAGAATGAGGGGGATGAGGGAGGAGGAGAAGGAGCAGGAGGAGACAAACCACGCAAAGTCTTCGGCCCGCGCCGGAACCAAGGGCGCGGGGCAACTGCAGCTCAACAGAGGGAGAATTCGCGACGCCGCCGCGAGGCGCGACTGCTGGAGCCCCACATCTGGCGAGGCGGCGCCTGCGTGTGTCCGTGCCCGTGTATGTGTGTATATGTGTGTGTGTGTGTGTGCCGCCCGTGCGTCAGCTTCGGCCCATGCCATCACCGCGAGAATGCAGCCCGCTCGGCGGGATGCTGGGGCACCGCGCCGCCGGCGGGAGGGATGCCTGGCACCGCGCCTCCGATCGCGCCCTCAGGCAGGAAGGCCCAGACATCCTCGCGCCATGAAAAGTCACGACAGGCAATCTTTGGGAGTTGTCGGCCTCAGTGGGCCCTCGCTTGGCCCTAGGGCCGTCAGAAAAAGACTCGGGACCCTAAAGAGATCCAGACAACTGGGAAGCCACGCTGCAGAAAGAATCGCGATGTCGGGTTTCGGGGAGGAGGGCAAGCAGTCTGCCGACGAGCCGCGACTTCGCAAGCAGGCCGGGAGAGGGATGCCCCCCGTGTTTGTGTATTCAAGCCGGCCTACAGCTTCGCACGTGCGGGTCAGGCGAAGGCGGTCGAGGAACTCGAGCTCGCCGACCCAGAAGCAGCGCTGGCCGAGCGGCTGCAGTCTCTGAGCTCCGACGACGCGACAAATTTGCAACATGGTGAAAAATCACGACTGGAACCCGAGACCCCTCGTTTGTGCGCCATCTTTAAAGCAGGGTCGGTCTGTGGGGGTCCCGGGGCCCGAAACCAGGCAAAAAGGCCAAACGCGAACAAACATGAGACGCCAAGATCTCGAGGTTCAGCGGCGGGGAAGCCGAAGCTTGCCAATCCCACACTCTCGCCCGGGGACTCCCGAGCTCGACGGTCCGATGGCGGTGCACCCCGCGGGCGCCGGAGAGGGGGCCGTGCGTTGGTCGTGCTCACGTGGCATGGCCGCGGCCAGGGAGCAGCTCGGCGGGACGAGGGTCCCCGAGACCCTGGTGCAGCAATTTTGTTCCATCTGGACGTCTTCGCCAGATTTCGGGCCACGGGAGCCTGACAGGTCGACCAGGCTCGAGAGGTGGCGCAGAATGATGCAGGCTGAGGCTCCGGTCGTGAGTCCGTTTTTTATAGGGTTGCAACTGTTTCGCGTCGTCGAATCTCTGGGGTTTGGTAAGCCTCGGAAGCCAGCGGTTCCGCCAGGGGGCCGTCGGAGTGCAGGGGGGCGTCGCTTTCAGCGGGGTCCTGAGGAGCATCGTCGGTTGGCGTACAGTCGGACCTAGGCCAGAAGAACATCCCTCTAGAACACGAGACCCTCCGTCGGCCAAAACAGACAGAACATCTGAGGGTACCCTCCCCAGGATGTACAGGAGCATCCAGCAAATACGAAGAACACTAGCTCACCCTCCCCGAACCGACCTCGATCGTATACCTCGGTCCGACTGTAGTCAGGGGAGGCGTCGAAATGCTCTGCCAGGCCAGGTGGGCCAAAGAGTTACGTCGTCCAGATCGTCTGGGTCGAAGAGCTCGCCGTCGGTCGCGCCATGCGCAGTAAAGGGCTACTCGTCGGGATCCTCGGGCCGGCCCCGCAATCAGGTCGGGCCGATACCGCTCGCAGGCGGTGCGGGGAGCTCCGCAGAGGGAGGAAGCGTATCGCAGAAGTGATGGCGCGCCCTCCCTAGCTCCCACGGGTGGAATGCACGAATGGACGCCGCGCTGGGGACCCGCGCAGCAGCCGTCGGCGGTTCGTGGCGCGTGCGTCGCGGTGAATGTTCCAGAACAATCGGCGTGCGACCTCGTGCTTCGCGGCTGAGAGGGCCACTGGGTTGTCGACTTCATTGCAAGTCGCCGCAAACGCAGGATGTACTGCTGGAGTGATGAAACCAACGCAGCCCTCTATGAGGTCCGTGCGTTCTGGCGCGATGGCGTCGTGCCAATCCAGCAGCGCGTTGAGCCGCATGCTGGCAAGTTCGGACGGGGGCACGTGGCACTGGCGGAATGCAATCCGTCAGGTCGCGCTAGGCGGTCAGGCGGCTATTGGGCCGGGCGTGCCCGTTCTTGCGGGTGACCTCGGGGGCACCAGATAGTGATTTCCTCCGAATGCTGAGGTGCGAACGCTTTGTGACCAAAAGGCTGGCTCACATCATCATCATCATCATCATCATCATCATCATCATCATCATCATCATCATCATCATCATCATCATCATCATCATCACCATCATCATCATCATCATCATCATCATCATCATCATCATCATCATCATCATCATCATCATCATCATCATCATCATCATCATCATCATCATCATCATCATCATCATCATCATCATCATCATCATCATCATCATCATCATCATCATCATCATCATCATCATCATCGTCATCGTCATCGTCATCGTCATCGTCATGTGGGCGTGCTCTGGTCGGGCGGAAGGACCAGCCTCGGCAGGGAGCACACCTGCCAGCGCCCCGTGGGCGGCGGCGGACAGCTGCGCCGGAGGGCGCGGGGGGAGCAGCCCACCAGCGCCAGCACACGGGTGTGGGGCTGGCGTGCGCCGAGGCAGGGCCCGTCGCCTCGTGCAGGCAGCTCCACGGGCTGGGCGTGGCCGCCGGTGGCCTGCCAGAGGGCCGTGCCCGTGGTGTCCAGGGCGCTCTGGAGAGAGGGGCCGCGGGGACCCGCCGCGCGGGGCCGGTCGGGGGCGTGGCGGAGTGCGGCGGCGTTGCTCCGGCACTCCGCCGTGGCCGCTCAGAAGGCGGCGCTGTTGGCCCGCAGTGCAGCGCAGGTCGGGTTCCTGCCAGAGTTGTGCCTCTGTGTATTGGGTTGCGCGGCTGCCAGTCATGTTCCGCTGATAAGGCCCCAACCTTACTTGCCCCTGTGTGTTGGTTTGGGTGGTATGGTGGCACACAGTTCTAGGTCCCCGCCCGAGCTGCCGCGAGATCGAAGCAAACGGGCACAGGGTGTCCTTCTGAGATAGAGGCGCTGCTTATGCTTGCCGCAAGTGATGTTGGCAAGGACCGGATCGTCCAAAGCTTAGGCATGCAGCCTCAATCTGCTGCGCTAGAAATATGAGTGCTGCAACGAGGACAGTGTCAACCAGGAGGGCAGTGTTACGAAGGAATAAGCCCTGATATGGCATGCGCTGCCCAATCGGAATGGCTGACCATGCACACCATGCTCTCTGATATACTCTTTTTTTGATTTCTGATTCGTATATATGAGGTCGCTTGCAAGGAACTATAATGTGGGCAAAACGCAGGAACGCAGGCGACATTGAGGATCCGCTTTTACCCAGACCAGCCAGGCTGTCCCATTGTGATACGGTTCTCCCCGTGCCTCGAGCGAGTAAACAACAGTGCGCGAGTTTGAAAACTCGCGTGCCCGTCTTTTTTTCTTTAAGCAATCATATGGTCATAACAACGCCCTGCCCACGGGCGAGTGAAACGCCGCGAATGCTAGGCATGCGCTACACCAGGTACCCAATATCATCAGGCACACGGACGGCAGCCTCGCCAAAGCCAGGCGTAGTACACCTGGGCACGTAGACACAGTGGTTGAGAGGGGCAGCGAAACAAGTGCGCGTGCGAAGCTTGCCATCTCAATCGTGCGGATCTTGAAACAAGATATCAGCGGCGCTGGGATTCATGACGAAGAGGAGCCAGCACATAACGCAACCAGGAGAGGCCAACTTGGCGAAGACATCCCCAGAGCCCCGACCTGCCGCGTAGTCTCGATGCGAGACACCGTCGAAACAACCAGCTGCGATTCCAATGGGACAAAGACCCGACGCCAACCGAAACCGCGGACGCCATCACCTTGGGCCGAACTCGTCTCAACGACTCGCTCTTCCATCTTCTTGGGCCAATGTGGCACTGGAAAGGGGAAGGGGGAGAACAACCAGGATCAGGCTGATGACCACGACGGCAACGACGCCGATGTCGACCACGAGGGCGACGACGACTATGAAGAGGAGGACCAGGATGGGACAATGTAGGCAGGGGGAAGGAGGAAGAATGAGTTGGCAAGGAGAAGGAGGAAAACGGAAGTAACGCAGGCGAAAAGGGGAGAACGGGAGGGAGACGGAACAGGAGAATGAGCAGGAGGAGAGGTAGAAGGGAGGGCGAGTTGTTTGATGCCCTGGGCCTGAGGGCACTGGGAGGTGCAAGTGTCAGCGGGTCTGGCTGCCTAACGTTGTTGTTGAACACCAACCATCCCTTGCGCGGTGGCTGGCGGGACTCGCCAGCCTTGTAGGCGACCGGATCCGCGTGCAGCCCATAGCTTATCCTGGGAGGAAGGGAGCCGGCCAACGGTAAAGGTTCTGGATATCCTGCCAAACGAATTCACCTAGCCACCGCGTCCGCAACCGTCACAGAATCCCACCAGCCCCATTGGCGTAGATGGTTTAGCGGGTCAGCTCGTCCACAACACCTATGATGTTTCGAACGAGCCTCGGCAATGAACTATCATACAAATTGGGTAAGTATGACTGGTGCTCCTACGTCTTGTGTCATGTATGTTGGTACGCTGTGTGTATGGCCGCATGTTATTTGTGCATGTGATGTCCGCTGTGCATGCACGCATTACGTGGTGTTCACTACCCGTTACACAATGTTGTGTGTACCCACCGGTCGGAAGAAGTAGGTAGAAACATGAAGTAGGAAGGCGGAAAAAGTAGATTGCATTCGGGGCCGCCCAAAAAAACAACAGCAACAGCAATTACAAGAAGTAGATTGCAAATTTCCGGGCCCTGTCTCAGCGGCGCGCAGTAGCGCTAGGTCGCTTGGCTCCTCGGATGGCCCCATTCCTTGGCTGGTTTCGGTTGTTCTGGCTTGTTTTCGTTTGTCCGTCGATCGCAGTGGCAGCCTTTCGGTCGCTCGGCCCTTCGGCTGGCCAAATGCGTTGGTTTTGTTTGTTTCTGTTTGTTTTCGCTTGTCCGTCGGCTGCACTGGTCGCCCCAGGCCCGCCCGCGGCCTTTCGGTCGCTCGGCCCCTCGGCTGGCCAAATGCATTGGTTTTGTTTGTTTTTGTTTGTTTTCGCTTGTCCGTCGGCTGCACTGGCCGCCCCAGGCCCGCCCGCAGCCGTTCGGTCGCTCGGCCCCTCGGCTGGCCGAATTCACTGGTTTTGTTTGATTCTGTTTGTTTTCGCTTGTCCGTCGGCTGCACTGGTCGCCCTGCGCACGCCCGCCGCCCCGCGGTCGCTCGGCCCCTCGGCTGGCCCCATTCCTTGGTTTTGTTTGTTTTTGTTTGTGTTCGCTTGTCCGTCGGCTGCACTGGTCGCCCCAGGCCCGCCCGCCGCCCCGCGGTCGCTCGGCCCCTCGGCTGGCCCCATTCCTTGGCGTTCTTTGTTCCTGTTTGTTTTCGCTTGTCCGTCGGCTGCACTGGTCGTCTCAGGCCCGCCCGCCGCCGTTCGGTCGCTCGGCCCCTCAGCTGGCCCAATTCCCTGATGTTGTTTGTTTTTGTTTGTTTTCGCTTGTCCGTCGGCTGCACTGGACGCCCCAGGCTCGCCCGCCGCCTTTCGGTCACTCGGCCCCTCGGCTGGCCCCACTCCCTGGCTTTCTTTGTTTCTGTTTGTTTTCGCTTGTCCGTCGGCTGCACCGGTCGCCTCAGGCTCGCCCGCCGCTCCGCGGTCGCTCGGCCCCTCGGCTGGCCAAATACATTGGTTTTGCTTGTTTTTGTTTGTTTTCGCTTGTCCGTCGGCTGCACTGGTCGCCCCAGGCTCGCCCGCCGCTGTTCTCTCGCTCGGCCCCTCGGCTGGCCCAATTCCCTGATGTTGTTTGTTGTTGTTCGTGTTCGCTTGTCCGTCAGCTGCGTTGGTCGCCCCAGCCTCGCCCGCCACCCCGCGGTCGCTCGGCCCCTCGGCTGGCCCCTTTCCACTGTTTCGTTTGTTTTTGTTTGTTTTCGCTTGTCCGTCGGCTGCGCTGGTCGCCCCAGGCTCGCCCGCCGCCCCGCGGGCGCTCGGCCCCTCGGCTGGCCAAATTCACTGGTTTTGTTTGTTTCTGCTTGTTTTCGCTTGTCCGTCGGCTGCACTGGTCGCCCCAGGTTCGTCCGCCGCCCCGCGGGCGCTCGGCCCATCGGCTGGCCCAATTCATTGGTTTTGTTTGTTTTTTGTTTGTTTTCGCTTGTCCGTCGGCTGCACTGGTCGCCCCAGGCCCGCCCGCCGCCCCGCGGTCGCTCGGCCCCTCGGCTGGCCCCATTCATTGGTCTTGTTTGTTTCGGCTTGTTTTCGCTTGTCCGTCGGCTGCGCTGGTCGCCCCAGGCCCGCCCGCCGCCGTTCGGTCGCTCGGCCCCTCGGCTGGCCCAATTCACTGGTTTTGCTTGTTTTTGTTTGATTTCGCTCGTCCGTCGGCTGCACTGGTCGACCTGCGCACGCCCGCCGCCTTTCGGTCGCTCGGCCCCTCGGCTGGCCCCATTCCCTGGCTTTCTTTGTTTCTATTTGTTTTCGCTTGTCCGTCGGCTGCAGTGGTCGCCTCAAACTCGCCCGCCGCCCCGCGGTCGCTCGGCCCCTCGGCCGGCCAAATGCATTGGTTGCGTTTGCTGTTGTTTGTTTTCGCTTGTCCGTCGGCTGCGCTGGTCGCCCCAGGCCCGACCGCCGCCGTTCGGTCGCTCGGCCCCTCGGCTGGCCCAATTCACTGGTTTTGTTTGTTTTTGTTTGATTTCGCTTGTCCGTCGGCTGCACTGGTCGCCCTGCGCGCACCCGCCGCCTTTCGGGCGCTCGGCCCCCCGGCTGGCCCCATTCCCTGGCTTTCTTTGTTTCTGTTTGTTTTCGCTTGTCCGTCGGCTGCACTGGTCGCCTCAAGCTCGCCCGCCGCCCCGCGGTCGCTCGCCCCCTCGGCTGGCCAAATGCATTGGTTTTGTTTGTTTTTGTTTGTTTTCGCTTGTCCATCGGCTGCACTGGTCGCCCCAGGCTCGCCCGCCGCCCCGCGGTCGCTCGGCCCCTCGGCTGGCCAAATGCATTGGTTTTGTTTGTTGTTGCTTGTTTTCGCTTGTCCGTCGGCTGCGCTGGTCGCCCCAGGCCCGCCCGCCGCCGTTCGGTCGCTCGGCCCCTCGGCTGGCCCAATTCACTGGTTTTGTTTGTATTTTGTTTGTTTTCGCTTGTCTGTCGGCTGCACTGGTCGACCTGCGCACGCCCGCCGCCTTTCGGTCGCTCGGCCCCTCGGCTGGCCCCATTCCATGGCTTTCTTTGTTTCTGTTTGTTTTTCGCTTGTCCGTCGGCTGCACTGGTCGCCTCGGGCCCGCCCGCCGCCCCGCGGTCGCTCGGCCCCTCGGCTGGCCAAATGCATTGGTTTTGTTTGTTTTTGTTTGTTTTCGCTTGTCCGTCGGCTGCCCTGGTCGCCCCGGGCCCGCCCGCCGCCGTTCGGTCGCTCGGCCCCCCGGCTGGCCCAATTCATTGGTTTCGTTTGTTTTTGTTTGATTCCGCCTGTCCGTCGGCTGCACTGGTCGCCCTGCGCGCGCCCGCTGCCTTTCGGTCGCTCGGCCCCTCGGCTGGCCCCACTCCCTGGCTTTCTTTGTTTCTGTTCGTTTTCGCTTATCCGTCGGCTGCACTGGTCGCCCCAGGCTCGCCCGCCGCCCCGCGGCAGCTCGGCCCTTCGGCGGGCCCCATCCATGGTTTTGTTTATTTTTGTTTGTTTTTGCTTGTCCGTCGGCTGCGCTGGTCGCCCCAGGCTCGCCCGCCGCCCCGCGGTCGCTCGGCCCCTCGGCTGGCCCAATTCACTGGTTTTGCTTGTTTTTGTTTGATTTCGCTTGTCCGTCGGCTGCACTGGTCGCCCTGCGCACGCCCGCCGCCTTTCGGTCGCTCGGCCCCTCGGCTGGCCCCATTCCCTGGCTTTCTTTGTTTCTGTTTGTTTGCGCTTGTCCGTCGGCTGCAGCGGTCGCCTCAAGCTCGCCCGCCGCCCCGCGGTCGCTCGACCCCTCGGCCGGCCAAATGCATTGGTTTTGTTGGTTGTTGCTTGTTTTCGCTTGTCCGTCGGCTGCACTGGTCGCCCCAGGCCCAACCGCCGCCGTTCGGTCGCTCGGCCCCTCGGCTGGCCCAATTCACTGGCTTTGTTTGTTTTTGTTTGTGTTCGCTTGTCTGTCGGCTGCGCTGGTCGCCCTGCGCGCGCCCGCCGCCGTTCGGTCGCTCGGCCCCTCGGCTGGCCCAATTCACTGGCTTTGTTTGTTTTTGTTTGTGTTCGCTTGTCCGTCGGCTGCACTGGTCGCCTCAAGCTCGCCCGCCGCCCCGCGGTCGCTCGCCCCCTCGGCTGGCCAAATGCATGGGTTTTGTTTGTTTTTTTGTTTGTTTTCGCTTGTCCGTCGGCTGCACTGGTCGCCCCAGACCCGCCCGCCGCCGCTCGGTCGCTCGGCCCCTCGGCTGGCCCAATTCACTGGTTTTGTTTGTTGTTGTTTGTTTGTTTTCGCTTGTCCGTCGGCTGCGCTGGTCGCCCTGCGCGCGCCCGCCGCCTTTCGGTCGCTCGGCCCCTCGGCTGGCCCCTTTCCTTGGCTTTCTTCGTTTCTGTTTGTTTTCGCTTGTCCGTCGGCTGCGCTGGTCGCCCCAGGCTCGCCCGCCGCCCCGCGGTCGCTCGGCCCCTCGGCTGGCCAAATGCATTGGTTGTGTTTGTTTTTGTTTGTTTTCGCTTGTCCGTCGGCTGCACTGGTCGCCCCGAGCCCGCCCGCCGCCGTTCGGTCGCTCGGCCCCTCGGCTGGCCCAATTCACTGGTTTTGTTTGTGCTTTGTTTGTTTTCGCTTGTCTGTCGGCTGCACTGGTCGCCCTGCGCGCGCCCGCCGCCTTTCGGTCGCTCGGCCCTTCGGCTGGCCCCATTCCTTGGCTTTCTTTGTTTCTGTTTGTTTTCGCTTGTCCGTCGGCTGCACTGGTCGCCTCGGGCTCGCCCGCCGCCCCGCGGTCGCTCGGCCCCTCGGCTGGCCAAATGCATTGGTTTTGTTTGTTTTTGTTTGTTTTCGCTTGTCCGTCGGCTGCACTGGTCGCCCCAGGCCCGCCCGCCGCCGTTCGGTCGCTCGGCCCCTCGGCTGGCCCCACTCCCTGGCATGATTTGTTTCTGTTTGTTTTCGCTTGTCCGTCGGCTGCACTGGTCGCCTCAGGCTCGCCCGCCGCACCGCGGTCGCTCGGCCCCTCGGCTGGCCAAATGCATTGGTTTTGTTTGCTTTTGTTTGTTTTCGCTTGTCCGTCGGCTGCACTGGTCGCCCAGGCCCGCCCGCCGCCGTTCGGTCGCTCGGCCCCTCGGCTGGCCCAATTCACTGGTTTTGTTTGTTTTTGTTTGTTTTCGCTTGTCCGTCGGCTGCGCTGGCCGCCCT